AAACAACAACAAGCTAACTAAATCACTTGAGAGGTTTTTCTCCTTTTTATAAGATTTTTAAATCGCGCGCGAGAACTTTCTGGAACTTTGTCGAAATCAAAAAGAGATATTTATTTATTTAATGTTAAATGCACGCGCTCTTGTATTTTTAATCTTCCGGCTTAGCTTTCCTTTAATATTCGTCACGCACTGCACTGCGCGGGAAATAAAACCATTTAATTTAAAATTCAACTAACATTAGCTATTCAAATACCTAATTTGTAACACTGCCCTCTTCCCAAGGACTGCACGTCCCGCGCAGTACAATCCCTGGACAGGAAGCGAAACTTACAACTGTGGCATAAATGCAATAAACAACATGAACACTAAATGCAATAAAATAAAACAAATCAAATGTTATCAAATACAAAATACAAATCAAATATACATTTAGAAACAAAGGACCATGGTCTTACACTATTTACAATTATTTACACTACGTACGCCATAGTAATGAGCTAACCTGTCGTAATGAACGACTTTAGGTTTAGAGTTCGAAGACTTACGGATCCGAACCACGACGTCATTCAGCCTGTTTAGGACTGTTTACGGACCATCCCAAGGTGACTGTAATTTCGGACAGAGTCCTTTCCGTCGAGTCGGATTCCACAACCACACCTTGTCTCCTTCGTGGAATTGATGTTCAGTAGCTCTTGTGTCGTATCGGGTCTTCATCTTCTCCGTCGCCAAGTTGACTCGCTCTCAATGCAAAGTTGTGCATCACTTCAAACCGGGCCTGGAGATCTTGAATATATTCCTCAGGCGATGAAGGAGCATCCGGAGGGCGAACAAACTAGAGATCACAAGGCAGACGAAGGTCACGACCGAAGAGCATCTGTGATGGGGAATAGCCGGTAGTCTCGTGGACAGCACTGCGGTACGCCAGTAAAAACAGTGGTAATTTCTTCTCCCAATCCTGTTGGTTTCTGGAAACCACTAATGAGAGGTTATTAAGGATGGTTAGATTGAACCTCTCTACCATGCCGTCCGACTGGGGATGTAAGGGCGTCGTTTGGGTTTTGTCAATGCCGAGTAGTTTGCATAGTTCTTTGATTACTGCCGAGGTAAAATTCTTTCCCTGATCGGAATGTAACTGAAGAGGCACTCCGAACCTGAAAATCCAGTGGTGTACCGTCACCTCAGCTATTGTGACAGCCTCTTGATCAGGAATGGGGTACGCTTCAGGCCACTTGGTGAAGTAATCAATGACAACAAGTATGTATTTGTTGCCATCAGCAGTTCGTGGCAGAGGTCCCAAGATGTCAAAGGCGATATATTCAAAAGGCACCCCTACGTTGAAACGTTGCAGCTTGCCTCGGCTGCGTCTCTTCGGTCCTTTCCTACCTGCACAGGCATCGCAAGATCGACACCACTTTTGCACGTCATCCTTTGCATTATTCCAGTAAAAGCGCTCACGAACTCTCTGCAAGGTCTTCATTATTCCAAAGTGACCTCATGTAGGGCTGTTATGTAGTTCTTTAAGGACATCAGGAATGCGGGATCTCGGAAGTATCAATTGCCATCGTAACGTCTTCCTATCATCCGATTCGAATTTCCGGTATAAGCCGCCGTTTCGAATATGAAGTGAATCCCAGAGTGCCCAGTATTGTTTTGTTGTAGGACTACAAATAGAAGTGTCCTGCCAGGTAGGTTTTCTGTTTGATGACTCCATTAAATCAATTATGGGTTTAATGTCGCGGTCTTCCAGCTGGTCTTTCCTGATTTCATCATCACTCCACGGTTGTCGATCAGCCGATTTTGATGTTGTAATTTGTCTTGCGACCGGAGTCAGCAGCTCGTATTTCGCGTTTACCCTGGAACAATATCGGCAGTTTTCTGGGCAAGGTCGTCTAGACAGGGCGTCGGCATTTCCGTGTGATGATCCCTTACGATGACGGATAGTGATGTCATATTCTTGGAGTGTCTGTATGCACCTGGCTATTTGACCCTCAGGATTCTTGAAATTTAAATGCCAGGCCAATGAGGCATGGTCCGTGCGGAGGAGGAATTTTCTGCCGGATAGATAATGATGGAAATGTTCTACAGCTTTGACTATGGCGGGCAACTCTTTCCTGGTGATAAAGTAATTCCTCTGCGGTTTAGACAGGCACTTGCTCCAGTACGCCACTACACATTCTTGGCTGTCTAGTTCTTGGGACAAAACAGCAACGATACTTTCATTGCTCGCGTCTGTGTCGAGAATAAATGGTCTGTCGAGCTGAGGATACGTCAGGATCGGAGCAGATGTTAAAGCCTCCTTTAAGTTGTTAAATGCATCCTCGCATTCTTTTGTCCACAAGAACTTTTACTTGCTCTCTGTCAGCTTGTGAAGGGGTCTTGCGATGGAAGAAAAGTCCTTCACGAATCTCCTATAGTAGGTGCAAAGCCCTAGGAAGCTCCTCAGCTGATGGACATTTTCGGGACGTTTCCAGGATTTAACCGCTGATACCTTTTCAGGATCCGTGCACACACCTTCTGTAGAGATGACATGTCCCAAGTAAGTCACTTCCTTTCGGAACAATTTGCATTTAGCGGGACTCGGCTTCAGATTGCCTTCTTTCAGTTTCTGAAGCACTTTTCTATGATTTTCTAGATGTTCTTCAAAATTCTTTCCGACGAAGATGATATCGTCCAGGTATATCAGACAGGCTTCGTAGGAAAGACCTTTCAAAACAGTCTCCATGAGGCGTTCGAATGTTCCCGGCGCATTACACACTCCAAACGGCATCACCTTGAATTGCCAAAGCCTTTGTCCCGTAGTAAATGCCGTCTTTTCTCGGTCATCGAGATGTATTTCTACCTGCCAATAACCACTCTTTAAATCAAGTGTTGAGAACCATTTGCTTCCAGAAAGAGTGTCTAGAATGTCGTCAATTCTAGGAAGAGGGTAACTGTCTTTCTTCGTAACCTCATTCAACCGGCGATAGTCGACGCAAAATCTTGTTGAACCGTCTTTCTTTCTGACTAGGGCGATGGGAGATGCCCATGGACTTGCTGAAGGCTCGATGACATCGCCTTCTTCCGTATCCTTTAAAAGTGTTCGTATCTCTTTCTGTTTAGCAAACGGTAGATGTCTTGGATGTTGCTTGATCGGGAGATGATCGCCGGTATCTATTCTATGTTGTGTCAAACTAGTTTGATCCACGTCAGAAGACGAGCGGGATAAAACAACTTGAAGATCTTTAATGACGCTTTCGGCAGCATTTTTCTCTTCATCGTTTAATTGCGCATTCTGAAGTAACTCCGCTGTAATGCTTTCTGAAGACACGGATTCTTGGATGTTACTCTTTCTTTCAACGGTGGTTACTGGAGTACATGCTGCAACCACTTCACCTTTCTTAATAATTCTCACCTTCTCAGTTACATTGGCGACTCTCAGCGGGATAACCGTTCTGGATAGGTCGACGAATGTTGAGGCTACTAGTACTCCTTTTGGGCTATTACAGTTATTGGGATATTCTATGATGCCGTAGCGGAAATTTCTATTTTCGGCTATGGATCCAGGAAGTAAATACTCGGTTCTTGCGGGTATTGTAATATCATCTTGAACTATAATTTTGTGGATAGATTTCACTTCCATCATTAATTCCAAATAAGGGCTATGTCCTCAGATGTAGAATGCAATTCGTTATTTTTAAAGTCCAAGGAAAAATCGTATTTCCTTAGAAAGTCCAGTCCGAGTATGCAAGAATCAGTGATCTCTGCTACATAGGCCGTGTGATGGTAAGCGGCACTTCCAGACGTGATGTTAACGTTTACTTTTCTGTCGATGTCGATCTTCTCACCGGAAACAGTCTGGAGGGTAACGCATGGCGGCGTCCCAAGTTTGTTTCCCAATTGTTGAGTCAAATCTTTTCGAATGATGGTAACGTTGGCTCCTGTATCTATCGTCATATTGCAGGGAACTCCATTAATATGTCCTGTTATGAAAAGTCCATTACTTTAAAGAATTAAAGAATAAAATTATCTCACAGATTGCGTTCATGATTAGTCCTTTGTGTTCTGATTAAAATAGCATTGTCTAATCACCAGCGGATAAATATTTTTTATTCAGATTATTTCGTAGCAACTGCAAATCAGTGCATGAAATGGATTCATTTACGAAGATCATGCAGCAAACTTTAGAGATTAAAATCAAAATTGTAGCAACAATCATAGTACACAGTCATTCAGAACATTTTTGTGATTGAAAATAAATTTGTACGACTAACGTTTGCGAAAATAAAAGTTGGGAAGAACTTTTGTGGACATGGTGTATGTAAAATATATAAGAAAACTTTTGTAGCTAACGAGTTCAGTTAAATGCACTGAAAAAAAGTAAAAGTTTTTTTTTTTTTTTTTTTTTTTTTTCTCGTAATATTTTTTGTCATACGTGCTAACAATGTCGCATTTTAAATCGAAACAAATCAAAGAGAAATTTAAGTAAACAAAATGTTTAAGGTTGAAACTACAACCTTATTAATTAGCTATTAAACTTACTTACTATTACTTACTTAACTAACTATAAAACTACACCTTATAATTAGCTATTAAACTTACTACTTACTTAACTAACTATAAAACTACACCTTATTAATTAGCTATTAAACTTACTATTACTTACTTAACTAACTATAAAACTACACCTTATTTAACCTTCCTGTGCTTCGAAGAATTCTCTTATATGTTTATGGCAGGATGTAAACTTTCTCAATTTAATTTAGTTTTCACCATTATTACTTTAATAATTGTTATGTCATTTGCGGCAATTAAATTGTGTGTTATTCAATATAGGCCTTTTCTTCTATGGAATGAAAACATTTCAGCGTTTTGGGAGTTTTATATTACATGTATCAGTTAATGGTGAATAACTTGTAATTAATTCGAAAATTAGTTCTTAGATGTAACATGTTTCTGTATCAACATGTTCTGTATCACTTTTTTAGATAATCCAGAAATAAGTCAAATATAATGATTTCAAATACTCATATTTTGCATAAATAAATCAGCATACATAATACAGCATAATGATACATAGTACATTTTTGAAATTAATAGACAAAATCTCATCCAATACTGAAGAAACATTGCTTCTTACCTACAACATATTTTTAATATTTTTAGCGAAGACGACCTGACTTGTTTTGAAGTCCTCGGCAGCGGCTTTGTTTAAAGGATCATCGGGATTAGGTTCGAGAAGGAGATACTGCAATCCGTATACGATAGAATTTAAAGTAAGTACAGGTTTCCAGTCTTCACGCAAAATATTCAGGCATATGTTGCCATTTTGATCAATGTTAGGGTGATAAATTTTTGTTTCGCATTTTACTTTTGGGGGTTCGTACGGGTAGTTTGAAGAAATTTTAAAATCGAAGGTGAACTGTCCATACTTATAGAATCCTTCATCCGGCGATATTGTCAATTTGAAATTGAAGAGATCATCTGATAGTGGAAATATTATCCCGCAAGTATTTGGGAGATTGAGTTCGTTAATATCTTTTGTTATCCTCAGCAGTGCGAATGAGGCTGCTTTCTTATTGGACGCGTTACGAGTTTGCTGATCTTCCCGCTTTTGCTTTAGTGAGGAAAGTCTCAGCATTTTCTCCGTTAAAATTTCCTCAATATGGCGATTTTGGCGATACTACATTTTAATCTCAAAAGCTATATTCAAATTATCGCGTGCTGTAATTGAAAATAATTCTCACGTATAGTTTGATGATATCGTTTTGCCTCTAACTCATTATTACGCATTATAAAAACATTATCAGTTAAAATAATTAAAAGAAACAACGAGGACTTAATTTGAATGCAGTGAGGAAATAGTGTAAACAATAAGATACGTATATTCCTGCTTAATTGTAGCACTGTTGAAATTGAATTGTAGATGATTTATTCTTAATCGTGCGATCGCTGAAATCTTAGCGTTGAAGATATGTGTAATAGAAGATTTTAATTAATTTGTAAAATAGAGAGAAATTCTTATTTTTTCATTTTGGCAACAAGAGAAGTACACTGCGCTCCATAAGTTAAGATACAGGATGTTTTTCAAAGCACACCATTACAAAAATGTCAGTAATATTTAAATTCACAGTTTATTTGCATGATAGTAACGAAGTTTAAGAAAATGTATGCAAAAGCAATAGCTACCACCTTTATTTTATAGAAATGAATACTTTATATAGGAGTTTGAGAAAAATGCAAAAATTTTAAGTTTTGTTAATGAGTGTTGATCTTTAATTGTTATTAGCACTTTCGTTAACAATATCCAAGAGAGTTTATCAATGTCCAGGAGAAGTCGTTTGCCTGATTCATTGAGGTGTCGGGCGATCGGATGGATGGAAATGGGGATGTCACAGGCTGATCCTGCTAGACGTCTCAATGTCTCTCGTAGTGTAATCCACCGACTGTGGAATTAGTTTGAATCCGACGATTCTGTATCTAGAAGGCATGTTCCAGGTAGAGTTACTACACCAGCGAAGACCATTATATAATTCTTTCGGCCCGAAAGAGGAGTAACATTACTATGCTTCAGCTCATGGCAGATCATTTAGTGGCAACAGGAACAAAAATCCCAGCTAGTACAGTGTGCAGAGGCCTGCACAATACAGGTTTGCATGCAAGACGACCAGTCGTTTGTATCCCCTTGAGCCGAGGACAGAGAGGTTCCCATTTATGTTGGACAAGAAAACACGTCTCCTGGATCAATCAACGATGGACATCTGTTCTCTTCATAGACGAGTCCAGGTTCACATTGGAGAGTGAATCAGGTCGTCAGCTGATCTGGAGGGAACAACGCATCAGATACAACCACTCACACATTATGGAAAGGCACAGTTACAGAGGTGGCGGAATAATAATTTGGGCTGGGATCTTTCTCTGTGGTCACACAGACCTGTATACGTTCCAGGGAGGAACTTTGACCAGTGTGGGATATCGAGACGAGATCGTTGATCAATATGTCTGCCCATATGCCGCTGCTATTGGTCTTGGATTTCTTCTGATGGACGACAATGACCGCACCGGCAGCTCGGGTTGCTGAAGAATAGCTTGAGGGTCACGGTATGGAGCGGATGGAATGCCCAACTCAATCCCCAGACCTGAATCCTATAGAGCATCTTTGGGACTACCTTGGGAGACAGGTTGCTGCTTTAAGTCTAAAGTCGTTAGATGAGCTTGAACAAGGACTATTCCGTATATGGTCGTCGCTTCCCATTTCACTGACCGACAACTTAATTGACAGCACGTAACGTCGCTGTCGCCATTGTATTGCAGCTAGGGGGGGACCCATTCCTTATTAGAACACAATTTTGTAATATTACTACCTCATTTGTCCTCAAAATCTGTGATATATTGTTTCTTAAAGGACTGGATTTCTCTGCCAAGACTGCAATTTTTTGTTGTAATTCATGTTTGTGTTGAACTTTAGAAACATTCTATGTCGCATTCGTTAAAGAACTGTTTAGTAAACATGTCTTCTAAATTTCGGGCTCCTATGTTGCTTCATTTTCAAATTAAACACAAAAAACATGCTGCTTCTTAACTTTCGGAGGGCAGTTATTTCATTATAAATCAACGTATTATGGCTTGCATAGGTAGAATAGTCAGAACTTCTATCTAACTTAATTCCAGATGTTATCTTAATTAATAGTCTATGTATTTCCGGTACTCTACCGTTATGCACATGCCACTCATTTTGGCGGATTATTTTAATTGTAAATAATTTCTAGTTATAAGAATAATTTATAGATGACATACATACAGGGGCTTATCGTAAATTTCCATACTGAACATGCTTCCGAACAACATATCTTTCGAAAATTGTATTAATAAATGAAAATTTAATTTTTCATAAATAAGGTGGTAATATATGGTTTTGTCGAGGAAATATTATTTCTAATGCATGAGAAGGGCCTGGCTCTTGGATATCCTTAGCACAACTTTGTTTCTCATCTGAGTCTGAATCATGCCATATATTCTCCCATCCATTATTAATTGGAAAATATTCTTCATCAGTAGTATCACATAAGGTGGGATCAGATCCATCAGAAGAAAACTCTTCAAGCGTAGTAAGTGCTTCCTTCACAGAAAGACTCTTTCTTAAGCATTTTTTTAACCATTTCACCCACCTACAAAATTCAAATATTGGCTTCTATTTTTAGCCCAAAGGGGCAATTTGCCCAGAAGGACTATTAATTTCGCTTTGGCATTTTGCGTCGGTTCACTTTTCAAATTGTTGCCACCCAAAATTAAAGCCTTGCATTATATTTATAGAAATTTAAATAATGGAGAATCTGCATGAAAGTTTGCATGTTTCTCACACTGTGAAAAAATCTAATGTGTACACCACATGACTTCCTTGTACGGAATATTAAATTATACGCATTTTTTCTTGCATTTTATTTAAACTTATTAGATTGAATTAAACTTACTTCGCCGACAGCGCATAAACCACAATAGAATAAATGCATTCTTTAAAATTCACTTTGTTTACCATAGCGACACTCTGGCGCTAGGTTTACTTAACAGTATTATATTTCGTTCATATTGTAACTCTGAATGCACAAAATTTATATCATTTAAAGAATTATCTAATCGTTGCCACATGTTCTATTCAAATACTATAATAAAACTAGAACTATGTATAAAAGAAATTAAGCAAACAAAACAAAAGAAACGGTTTTTCACAGACGATTGAGTATTTCTCATTCAATTAAATCAGCTCTCTCTTCGCGACAAGGCAAAAATACATAAAAACTCAAAATATCTGTATTAAAAATTACGAAGTAAATCTTAAACGCTTATTTCCTCGAAAAAATTCAAGAAAGGATTAAGCACGATTTAATTGGCAATAATAAATGAATGCATTATCTTTGCTGTTGCGAAGCTAAGTTTCTCTAGATTGGCAACAAATCCACTAGTCTCCTGTTTCAAATGTAAACATCAATGGCCGCCATCAAATTAGGCTTAGCGGCACTTAAACAATTTTAAAATTGTTGATAATTCTAAAAATATTGCATACATATTTACTAAAGGCATAAAACCCTTAACCGGAATATAAAAACAATATAATTCAATCATTTTTAAAGCAAAAAATGTACAATTTACAAACATATATGAGTAAAGAAACTGAGATCACTGAGCCGGGTAACAGAGTGGATATATTAATAAATATATTTATATACGTTTGGCGCGGCCGATTGAAACCAAAATACGAGGTGCACATCTACATGTTATAGTAGTCTTATATACAAAATTTCAGCGTTCTGAGGCTACTCGTTTTTGAGTTATGCGAGATACGTACGTACGCACGCACGTACAGACACCACGAAAAATTCTCTTCAGAATTCATTTTAAAGCAGTTTTTGAGTTTTTTTGGAGGAAAAGAGTCTTTTATTCTGTCCTTACGTACAGCTAACACGCAAAAACATCCTTAAATTGCATTCGAAAGCGGTCAAAGTGAATATTTTCGTTGAAATATGCTGCCTGAAGCTTTTCGCGATTACAATACTTCCTTTTTACTTCGTACAAGGAAGTAAAAACAGCGGTACCTATAGAGACATCAGATTTTGAATAAAGTGTCCTCCTTTCGAATATGGACATATAAATGTCACATATGTGCAGATTTTTAATTTTTGTTCACCCTCTAATATAATTTATGATTCTTCAAAAATGAGACTTTTGATACATTAATTTGATAACCACAAAATAATGAGTATTTATAGTTAAAAAAACATTAGAAACTCAAAATTATAGCTTTTGGTGAAAAAAAAAAATTAACTGATTTCTACGAGTTTAAAAAAATTCACTAACTTTCGATATATTTTATGTTCCAGTGCCCTTCGAAGGGTTTCAAACTAATGGAATTCTACAAGAAATTTAGCATATTTATTATTATAAACTTAGGAACGTCTTTATCTGTGTCTTTTCAAATTTTTGGACAGCTATGCTACATTATGTTCCTCTACAATATGTCATTTATCGTCCATAAGAATAAAACATAAAATTAGAAGACTCTAAATGAATTTAAGTTACTTTGAAGCGTCTATGAAGTTCTAATGTGTCAGAAACAACACAAGAAGAAGAGTAAAAAGACCCTTTTATCCACTCCAGAAGAGTTTCAGAGACGGCACTTCTCGTGCGTACAGTATCACGCTAACACTTTTGGCGGTAACTCAAAATAGAACGAAAGTTAAAACTAACGCTAAGTTGAATAATCAGCCGAAGCTGCGCAGAGATAATTTAACGCGTAGTTGGCTCTTGGCTAATATAACCAACGTCGATTAACCGGCAATTAACATGCACGGCCGTAAAATAGGAAGCTCTAACTAGTAGAGAAACAACGTGGCCGAAAGGCAGAACACGCTCTGTCTGAAGTAACTCAGACTTCGGCTTAAAAAGTAGCTTCCTATGCTACTTGGCATAAAGCGCAAAACTAAAATTTCATTTCTGGCAAGAAAGCGTCTGGCAAGAAAGCGTCCGTTGAAAATGAGAGTTTAAAGAAAAGACTGCTGCCGGAGTGTGTTGTTTTTCGAGCTAGAATAAGATCTTTAATTTATCCTTACTTAAAAAAATATCCGAAAGATTTCAGATTTTATATTACTCACAAAAGGACCCTTTTTTTT